GTGTTGTTAATGGGAATATTTTAGTGTAGTTGGGGTGTTGTTAATGACAATATTTTAGGGTAGTTTGGATGCTGTTAGTGGGAAGATTTTAGTGTAGTTTGGGTGTTGTTAATGGGAATATTTTAAGGTAGTTTGGGTGTTGCTAATGGGAATATTTTAGGGTAGGTGGTGTGTTGTTAATGGGAATATTTTAGTGTCGTTTGGATGTTGTTAATGGGAATAATTTAGGGTAGTTGGGGTGTTGTTAATGAGAATATTTTAAGATAGTTTGTGTGCTGTTAATGAAAATAATTTGGGGTTTTTTGAGTGTTGTTAATGACAATATTTTAGGATAGTTTGGGTGTTTTTAATGGGAATATTTTAGTGTCATTTGGATGTTGTTAATGGGAGTATTTTAGGATAGTTTGGGTGCTGTTCATGGGAATATTTTAAGGTTCCCTGGATGTCATTCCATGCCTGGAAGCATCTCAGCTCTGTGGCAGGGGAGGGAGGTTTGCAGGAGGTCACCGGATGATCCTTGAGGATGTTTTGTCCCTCCCCACACCCCCCCTGTGACTCCAGGTGGTCCCAAAGCAGCAGCCCCCGCGTCGACCCCTCCCCGGGAGTCCTCTCCTGGCCAAAGAGCTGCCTCCTGCCCATGGACAGACCCTGCTGGTCATGGTCCCTCCCACCAACTTCCAGCCGGCGGGGACGAGCGCCACGAGCCACCCCACGAGGGCCCTGAAGTGAGTGGAGTGTCCCCCACCAAGGGTGGGGGGTCCTGCGGGTTGGGGGCAGTTCAGGGGGGTCACCCCTGGGTGGGACATTCCCTGCTCTGCAGGACCTCGCAGGGTCTGGCCAAAATTGGCCAAAAGAGGCCGAGGGTTGGGGTTTTGAGGTGCTGGGGTAAGGGAGGGGCCATATTTTGGGTGGGGGAGGTGGTTTCCCATCCCAGATGTGGAGGGAGCTGTTGGGATTCAGTGAAGGGATGGCCACTGATGGGAAGGGATGGACACCGATGTGAAGGGATGGACACTGATATGGAGGGATGGACACTGATATGGAGGGATG